ACGTGTGAACACCTGGGTAAGGCTAGTGGCAGACTTGGAGCTTGTCACGGGGGATGTTCAAAGTGACTTCGCGACCCTTGCCCAAAGTCTCGGTCCCTTGATCGGCCAAAAGTTCGAAAAACTGCGGACGCAAAACACATGTCATGAACCTCTCTGAGTCTGAACATCTGGCTGGTTGTGGCTGGCACCCGCCCGCACCCGGCTCAGGATCGCACTCGTTGGACTCTCCGCAGGTCGCGTAGCTGTAGAAGGCGTTGGAGTTCGCGAAGAGCACCTGAGCTCGCGTATGGGCCCCAATCTGTTGAAAGCTCGAAGGCCACGGCATACCGAAGCCCAACTAAGCACTTCTCGGTGGCGAAATCTGCTGCTAAAAGTTTAACAGGTAGTGGCTTAATTCGGAAAACCCATTAGTTGGCAAAAAGGTAAAGTCCTAACATCCCTTGGCAAAATGCACCAAAGCCAACTCAGCACTTGTCGCCTGGTCCCCCTTTGGCACCTCGCACTTGTGCCCTCATTGGCATCAACTATCGACACAAAAGCCCTGCGAACTTCCCGGGTCTGCCAGAAAGAACGTCTCAAAGGGAGATACCCAACCGGACACAGCACAGGCGAGCCCAAAAGAAACCGTGCAATTGAATTCATAAGATAACACAAGGGGCACAGCACCAGAACCCTAAAAGACAAAAGAAGCCAGGCCCAACATACACACACGCCAACGAGAAAGGCAGTGCCATGTGAAGCATGTCAAAAAATCCAGGGCACACTTCGGTAGGCCGTGGTCCCCTGGCAGTTGTTGGGATCCACATAGCACCACTTTTGGGTGCACCAGGCGGGGGCAGCGTCGTCACTGCAGAAGGGCGGCAAGTTCAGGTCGTGCGCCTGCGACAATCCCAACATGGAATCTGCCAGGGAGCTCCTGGAAGACCAGTCTCCTTGTGGGTGCTGTGTTTGGTGACAGGGGACGAAATCAACAGGATGGGGTGGGGGTGGTATTGACCATGAAATAAGGAACATGGCTGTAACTATGCCAATTGACAAACCATGAGTCATGATTATAACCAATAAACCATTCAAATATAATTAATTCATTGTAATACAGATTGTAATTAATCTAATTTGCCCTTGCGCAGTCCCCAGATGCAACCACGAACGGTAGAAGGGGAACGCGCCTTTTTGGGGTTGGCCGCTTGGGGAACCTAAAGCAAACAAGGAGACATAATTCCCACACGAAAGGGTAGAGAAGCAGACAATGGCTCCCTGCACATTGGCCAACCCCAAAAGGAGAGGATGTTCCATTTGTAAACCATTTCAATTGATGTTCATTGTAATACCATTGGATGTTCATAATGGATTTCTTCCTAAAAGGACTCATCTCTGGAAATGCCGACTTGGGTTCCATGCTTGGGAGAATCTGCGCGGCCAAATGGCGATGTGGACCCTTGGTGTATCTTGGTGTTAGATCCCCACGTGCTTATGAAATCAACAATTTCCTTTTACGGTTGCCAGTTTCACAAACGAGCCAGCATGAGTTTAACCATTCGACTGCATTATAAATTGGCGTGTGCTCTTGGCCCTGTTGTCAATCAAATCGACTTTGGGTGCTGAATCACCTTTTGAGCGCTGAACCATGAAAATCAAGGGAAGCCGCCAATCCATTTTCGGAGTTTTGGGGTCCAAATCCCGTCCGAGTCACAATCAACTCCTGGCAAGGCGTCTGCTTTCACCGATGTCTGGCAAAAAGGAGGTCCCCGTTTTCGGGCATTGCTCATTTGATCTGGCGGACCACATATGTCCCTTCAACAGTCAATCTATGAGAAACTGGCCATTCCACACGATGATGATTAAAACTCCAAAAGAAAGCAACTTGCTTCTTGGCAAGTAGGAAAAGGAACTAGAGCTGGACTCCCGACAGTCGCCCGACCCGTTAGTTTTCTACTCGGAAAAAGGCCTCAAAGATATCTGCTGGGATACCATTCAGTACCAGGTGTATGTCAAAACTAGGACCCCTTCAGATGTGTTTACCACATCCACAAAAGGAACCCTGATAGAGAGGTCAAATTCCTTTTGCCTCCGCTTCAAACCAACCGAAGGGGAGCAAAATACAAATATCAATCGGACGTTGGCTGGTGGGCTTGGGGGGGAAAACGGTTCACCCGAACAACAAAAATCGGGGCAAGCCACAGGAACCTTGGGTCAAACAAACCAAAGCCTTTTGTGAGCTTGCTTTTCGTCCACGGCAGCCTCCTGGCACACCGAGCTTTGGAATCCTGGTTGATAAATGGGGGGTCCGGAAAAAAATATGCCTTGCAAATGGTGGTTTCCAACTTTCTTTTGGTGTTGGAAAAGGAAAACATGCTTCAAATGGGCAAAATGGAGATCTTTTAAGGAGCCCTGAAAATGGACCCCTCTCCTCTGGCTTCGTTTTGACAGAGACCATGGGCGACGAAAACTTGCTCATATCCAGATCCCTCACCCTTACTCCCTGTTCCCCTACCAGGCCGAGAGCGGAAAAAAAACAACGAGGGAACCAGGGTTGGTCCAGCTGGGCTCACTGTGTTGACAACTTTCGGTTTACCAACTTCCTTTCATGTGTTTTTAGGGAGTACAACCCGGCTGTGACAAAATCCCGCTGTATATAAGGGAGGACACGAAGGAGAGTCCATGTGTTCCGCCAAAAGGCTGAGGTGGAAGCCAGCATTTCACTTGAGAACAAACCGAAGGGAACCTCGCCTGAACAAAGCCACCAAACTGTGATGATAGCAAAAAAAGAGAAAAACATCAGGAGCCATAACAAAACCACATCCTCCACTCTCTCTTTCTCTCACTCTCTCTCTCTCTCTCTGTCACTCTTACTTCTCTCACTCTCTCTCTCTCTCTCTCCATCTCCCTCCCTCCCTCCCTGCCTCCCTCCCTCCCTCCCTCCCTCTCTCTCTCTCTCTCTCTCTCTCTGTCTCTCTCTCTCTGCCTCTCTGCCTCTCTCTCTCTCTGTCTCTGGCGCCTGCCTCGCACTGCAAGCTGCCGTAGTTCAATGGGTAGACCTGAGGCAAAGCAAAGAAGGTCTTGGCACGGCAGGCTTCGCCGTGTGTTTTGTTTGGGTACCTGTTTTGGGGTTGCTTTCAAGGGAAACCAAGCGGAAACCGCACCTTTTGGGGGTGCCCCTACATATGGCACCCAACTGCTTCAGCGAGGCCAAGCTATTGGGGTTGGGTTGAAGCCAAGTGCATCAGCATGTGGTTTTTCTTGCACCCGAGAAATTGGGCCGGTTGAAGTGGGTCAATTGAGCTTGCAAGTTCACCGGAAAAGGCGGAACGCGCCAAGATTGGCCGTATCTTTGCTTGCGAGAACAAGGGCGATTTTGCAGCCTGACCTCGCTATTGGTCTCATTGTGGCAGATTGGCCCCCTTTCTGTACCCAAGTGGGAGTCTTCGTTTGTATCACTAAGCCCTTTGTCCACAATGGTCGCTTCCCAAGCCCTTGCGTGGTGCCTCAAAATTCATTTGTGACCAGATTCGCCAGGCGCAAAAACGGCCACGTAAGGCGTCTCTTATCTCCATCAAAAGGCGCGTGGGCATGTCTCACGGGATATTGGGGACCCCTCCCCCGAAGAAAAACAAAACAAAGGAAACATGGTTTCCGCTGGCTCCAATCGGGCGGCGGGGGGGAACTCTGCCAAGGTATACTCTTTGGGTCTTGATGGGTGAATTCTTCACCCAGCCAGCTCATTGGGCTCGTGGAACCGCCCTTCTTGCGGCGAGAAAGAAAAAAAAACGCGCCCAGATGTGGGACGCTTGCGACTCGAACAGAAACAAACAAAATAGAAACCTAAAAGCTGGCCTTTCCGGAAACTCATGTTCGAACCTGCCAACAAATGGGAAATCAAACAGATATCCTTCACTTTGATTTGTGTGAATCTAGATTTGAATGGATCCGAATTGGATGAATCATCGGACCGATGTCTTGCCAAGGGATCCTTGTCCTTTGTGCGTCATAAATCAAATGGTTCCCTGGTTCAGCGAAACCACCCGCTCCAAGCAAATCAACCCTGAAACCTGCACCGAGCACTCTGGAATCCTTTAGATGGCTTTGAAGGAAAACTAAAAAGTGGGTAGTATGTCAGCTGAGGATACCCGCTTCTTGGATGAGTAAAGCCAAACTAAACGGAAAAACTGGTAATCCTCAAAACTTTCCGGGATTGTGCTCCCAGAGCGGATCGGCCAAACAAAGTTCACACTTGTGTTGTCTATCAGAATCACTAAAACCGTCTGACTCAGGGAGTGAGTCTTCTGGGTTTGTCTCTTAAAACCAAAAAGGATATCAAGATTCAAAAGTAGAAGCGCGCGTGAGCCAAGGGTCGTAACTGGTGCTCTGACCCTCCGGCTTGTAGTGGACCTCGTCTCCGACTTTGTACGTACTCAGGTCCACCCATTCCTCGGGCTGGCGGATGAATCGACTGCGAAACGTGACTGGGCGGCAAACTGGGGGTCGGTAAAATTCGAAAATAATTCGATGTTTCAAGGACACAAACGCTTGAGCTAGAGGAAACAGCAGCGCTTCTTTTTAGCATCGCATCTGAAGACCTGTCATAGCCGTCGCTATCTTGAGCGCTTTGGGTTTGGTCGTGCTGACCCTCTTTCTGTGGGACAGGGCCGGCACCGACCCAGCACATGCCGTGCTGATACATGCATCCTGCATGAACTACCCACCGCACTCCCAAAGCACTTAGAGAAAAGAAAAGATCCTGATCAGGGCAAAAGCTGGTATCTTAAGCCCAGTTGTCCTTGCTGGCCACCCACTCGAAGTACAGGCTACAGTGAAGACCGTATAAGATGCCATGGACGGCCCCCGCCATGGTATCCAGCTCAGAAGTGGAACTTCGACCGCGGATGAGGCTCATCAATGCTGGCACGTTGTCCACGAACCAGAGTCTGTGATGACCTCGAATCAGCGGAGCAAGGGCAGCCAACGCCATCAGGACTAATTATGCAAAGTTCCAGCTGGGAGATCTTGGCCGCCTGATGGTCCCAGGTATCGAAGAGGCGGTCGTCAACCGCAAGGATCAAACCGATCCTCTGCAAGGCAGGTGTAACCGCCAGAGCACCTGCAGAGCCCTGTCGGCTTCCTGCGCCGCATCGGACGCAACCAAGAACCTGGGCAGGGAACTAGGCTGGAGCGCAAAAAGGCGACGAGGTTGTAGACGAAGAAGGCCACGAATGGTATGGAAGGTATCCTTGAGTTCTTCAGTGAGGTGCACTTCTGTCCTGGGAGCCAGCTGTCGTGCTTGCAGCAAAGTCAGGCCAGCCCTTGCCAAAGCACCCGTGACTCAAGAAAGTCAGGCATCCAAAGAGCTTGGAAGCCAGGCCAGGCCGCAACTCACCGGAAGCGAAGCAAGTGGCCATGTAGCCCTCTACCTTGTCGACCAGCCGCTGTCTCACCCAGAAGGTGGTGCCACCAGTGTCTTGAGCGTTGCCGACTGAATGCCAAAGCCCCAGAAAGTCGCCCTCTGAATGCATGGCCTGATGCTTCTCGGCTGAGAATGGTGATCCAAGCAATCGAGCCACGGCAACGCAAAACTGCTGACTGGAGCCCTTCGCCATGGTGACGTCCTGCACAGTGAGGTCATCGAAGTACATGCTCGCCATGCAAGCCCCGAAACGCCTAAAGAAGCACTGCAGCATACGTGGCCATCGGTTGAAGCTCGTGACTGCTAAGGGCAGACCGAACAGTTGGCCGAAGTACCTTCGAAAACGAGGTTGCTGTCTCAAAATCGTGGTAGGCCACGATGCATCGCCAAGATTCAGACGGGGTCATTGGAACGTGTCGATATGCATGAGGAAGATCTTCGCCGCCAGTCTCGAAGTCAATGGATTGCAGGTGGGGCTGATGTGTGCGAAAGGCCTGCCACAAAAGTCTCACATGAATGCCAGGCTGGATTGCTGTGCACAGGTCCAGCCGGTTGCAGTCGGCACTAAGTGAGGACTGGTGTCCGTCAGCAGCGTCGTCGATCATCCGGGCTGCCGAATGCAAAAGCGCCGGATAAGGCGGAAGCGGCGGCCTTGAGCAGACAGCTCTTGCCAAGACATGGCTGGGCCGCAAAACCCCAAGGCCTCGTCTTTGGCGCCAGCGTCAGAGATGGCCTCGTCAAACTCTGAAGGTCGCAGTGAGGCACGGATTCGTGCGGCGTCGTCTTCTGCTGTCATCCAGATGTCCTCCGGGCAGATCCAATCTGCTGGCTGGCAGTCGTAGACAGGCACATGCGGGGAGAAACCCACGCAGAGAAAACCCTGAACCAGGCCCCTCATAAAGGTGGTGTCAGGCCAGTCGGCCAAGATGCACAGAAGGCCAATCAAGCCCAGGTGCCGACCTCTGGTGGATGAGGCCACTTCTGGTAGTTGGAACTGGGCGAGGCAGTCCGTGACGGGCTGCCACCGACGGCCGAGCTCTTGAAGGACCTTCAAGCGCCTGGTTCGCTGCGAATGTTGGCTCCCCACCGACCCGAGAACTCGGCAGCGAACAACAGGTCCTCGTCGACTAACGGCTTGCCAGTTGCCTGCACCTGGGATGCAAACATGAAGTGGCCATCCGGGCCAAGGTTGAATGGCACAAGGGGAGGCGCCGCCTTGGCCGAGGCAGCTGCCCCAGTTAGATCCCAGGCTCATGCGGAACATAGGTCGCTCATTGGCCCCCAAAACTCGTGGCCCGGCTGGGAGTCCCTCCAGAAATGGGACGGATTTCGTCCAGGAACGAAAACTCAAAAACGTGTCATGTCCTGGGCCAGACTGTCCATGTCACGAGCTGATACCACCCTGGTACCAAGTAGCAACTGCCATGACTGTGCGAAGGGGCAGGCTGCACCGGGACTTGCCATCAGACTGTTGACGACGATGCCAAACCGCTGAGGCCAGAACATCACCGTGGCAGAGCCGGTTGGCGGGGCAATCGCAAACTTTGCCCTCAAGGGACTCGAGGTCCCGCTGCCAGGCCTCTGTCTGAAGCAACTTCTGCATGTAGAGGACCACCGTCTCAAAATGGGTGCCATCCCTTCCAGCCAGGAAAGGGTTGGTCCAAGGGCCGACCACCCAACGATGTGAAAAATGCCTCGGCCCAATGTAGACGTCTTAGAATCCGCTTGCTTCCACTTGCAGATGGGTCCGGCAGCTGCCGCACCCGACACGATGTGCAGGATGGCCCCCCTGCGTGTGGAGCATTGCCATGACCAAGTAGAGGGCAACAGCACAGCCGCCTCTTTCCGAGAAAGTTGCTGACGGCACCAGTCAAAGATGGCATCACCTCCACGCCTGGAGTGGAGTCCAGGGTTAGGTCGTCCAGGATGCCCAAGATCACAGCCGTGAGCATGGGAGCCCTATGGACCCCGGCTTTGCAGTGGATGAGAGCGCTCTCACCCTGAGCAATGGTAGCCAAAACTCGTTGGCGGACTTCATCAAAGGCCTTCTGCCTATCATGACCATTGTATGACACGGGGACGGATCGCTGAAGGAACCGCGCGGCAGAGGCTCCACCCAAGTCCGAAGCCTTTTCCCGCATAGCACATAGCACTGACCACAAAGGAGATCCGCTGCCGCTTCAGGAAGGCCTCGTCGGAACTGCAGGGGCAGACCGCCCAACCACAAGTTTCCGGAACCGTGTTGTCCCCTGTGCACCAGGGAAGCCGGTTCGGCATGCCCGCTGTGCCCTGCGCTAGACCAGCACGCTCGAGCCAGACGATCAAAGAACTCGTCAGGGTCATCTGTCTGAGGAGGATCTGACGGATCCACAGCAGGCTCGTCCACCTCGACCACGTCAGCTGCAGCCGAAGCAGGAGGAGCTGGTCGGGCTTTGGAGCTGGGGGCACCAGCCACGGGCAGCGGCGGCTCCACTCTCTTCCTCTTGAGGTTTTTGGCCGCACCCTTCCAAAAAGACGGTCGTACCTGGAGCGTGGCGTCATCTTGCTGAGGAAGGTCGGGATTGATGACCTCAGCGGCACCTGAGGCCAAAAGGTCGTCCGCCTGGGTCAAATCAGTCTCCAACTGAGCCTGCAACTTCCTGCCAGCGAGTCTTGTGACCAAAAGCCCTCGCCGCCCCAAGCAAAGCCCATTTCAACTGCGTGGACCTGCGAAGTCGAGATCCAGTTCCCAAGGGCCAGCTTGTCCGGCTCGGACAGGCCAGCAATAGCTCCCCAGGTAGGCGCGACACGCTGAAGGCTGTACGACGACAGCTGAGAAGGGCGCGCAATGACGTCCTGCAACCACCCACAAACTCCTTGGATGAAGCCCTGAATCTTCAAAGGCATCATGGCGTTGAGGTCGAAGCACAAACCCTTAGCAGCGAGACCCGCCTGCTTTCGGGCTGCAGCAAATCTGGCCAGCTGGACCCGAAGGTCGAGCCAAATGTCCACCCCATCCAGGCTGAACCTGGGGACACTCCAGTAAAACCCAGACCGGGTATGAGTCTGCTTACCTCGGTAGCACCACATGTAGATGGCCACATCATCAACGGAGTGGACCACGGATCTCTGGATGTGGGCGAAACGAACCACACCGAAGATCATGCAGTGGGCAGCGAACAAGGTAGTCCACCTGTGATGCCGGACTTCGGCCTCCAAACACGTCTCGAGGACAGTGATTGCTACTGGGGGGATGACGGGAGCCTGTTTGGCCCCACCCCCAAACTTTGTAGGGGCAGATTTCTTGGCGGGCTTGATCAGAAGAGACGTATCATAGACCAGCTTGAGGTTCTTGTTCATCCAAAACAGGGCATTGTAGGCCCGGGTCGGAGCCTTATGCGCCCTCATGAAGGCAGCCAGCTGCAAGGCCGTGAGGGCATTGAGCTCCACCTTGCACCCGAAGCGAAGGAGCGGAGCTCACGCCATGTTGACAGTGCATTCCGCAATGTCACCTGCTCGGTCCGGCCAACCATGTCCAGGACGAATGCCCGCATGGCGTCCCTCTCATTGGCTGTAGAAGGTCTGTGGCTAGAGCAAGCCAACATGATGGCCAGCAACTGGTTCTCACCCACCGTGTGCGACGAAGAGGACGCCTCGTAGGAGCTAGGTGGGAGGTGGGCCGTAATCACCACAGGCTCAGGCCGGCTCCTCAGCCGTGGAGACGCCGACGGCTTTGGAGCAGGGGGAGGCACCCCCAAGGCCATGACCGGCCTCGCAGTAACAGCCAGACCGACTGAACTGCGGTTACGAGCCTGCTGCCAGGCATTGGCAACAGCGCGAACAGGCCTCATCAAAGGTGAGGTAAAAGAAGGCCAGGTCCATCTCATTGGCCACACCTTGCTGACGGCACCAAGTGGCCACTCTGGCCTCTTCCTCCGCACGGATGAGCGCCGCTTCGTCAGCCATATGCGCAGGGCCAGGCAGACCCGGAGGCAGAGGTCAGACAGACCAGTGAAACAAACTTGGTATCCAAAACTCCGAGGTTCTTCAAACCTTGACCAGACCGGCCATTTTGGATCTTTGAGCCAAAATGCATAGAGAGGCATTGTGGCTGTCACTTGAAACAAAGGCACTTCACCGAACCTGCCAAACCTAAAAGTGGCATAAAAATTACCCGTCCCCTTTAGGCTTCCCATTGGGTAAACTAAAATGTACAATGGGCTATTTAGCAACGCCTTGATCTAGGCAAATTGGCGTCACAGTCCAAAAAGTTACCCAGCAGTTCTTTGGTTCTATGTCAGTTTGCGCAGCAACGGTTCAACCAAGCAGAAGAAACGACTGGCGTCGAAATCCAACATAAGCTGATCCGAGCCGGGCAAAGCTCCCGCCATGCCGCTGTGCCTTTCGGAAAGTGCCCCAAAGCAGCCCACGTTCACCGCGCCAGGTTTGGACTAAATCTGTTCCTAGTCTCCCGTTACAAGCTTTGATGCACCTGGGGCTGCATCAGGATTATCCTTGTTGCTGCATTTGGGTGCGTTTCATGTTCTTCTTCTCTGCTTTTTGGGGACAGCCGCATACACTTGCTGGGGTTCTAAGGTGAAACTTAAAGGCAATCAGCCATTCAGGGGTGCCTCATTGGGAGACCAACCTCATGGCTCGCTGAGAACGACGTTGATTCTGCCTGGGGCATTTCGATGCTCATCGTTGAGTCATCTAGATGGCTATGCCGCTATGCCCCTTGCCCAGACAAAAAAAAAAATGGGAAATCCGCAGGTGGCCCCGTGCAAAATCAAAATGAGCTCGGTCACAGTAAGTTGCGGCCTTGAGCAAGTTGGACAGCGATACACATTATCCGGTGAAATGGCTCGCCACTATACGCCAAGCAAACACCTTCATGTAAACCGAACACAACTCAGACGTGACCCAAAGCACTGGGTCACAGTTGCGGTGCTGAACATGGCCCTGGATGTTGCGGATGAACCTCTTAGTAAATCTTCATGTTTCGAAACCCAGATTGACTATAGACACTGAATAGGACATGTTGACCTAGCCCAATATGTGACGCCTATAGGTATGAACAGGACCGGCTACCTATGCGTCCCCTTTTGGTCATCTGTGTGTGTGTGTGTGTTTTCTATGGTACCTTTGTCACCTGCCTTGAAAAGCAAGTAAACAAAACAGACAAACTTGCTGAATTCAAAGCCATGTTTTGACACACGGATCTCTTTCGAAGGTATTTTTTTCTGGGGGTTGTACGGGAAACCAGAAGTTTGGGGGGAGAGGGGGTCCACGATTTTTAGAAAGCCCCACGTACTTCTCCTAGGTCCTCCAGTAGAGAGGTTAGAACAAGGGTACCCTTTTTGTCTGCAGTCTATTTTTTCTAGGGGAACCCTCCCCCAAAAAAGCAACGGGTGAGAAAGGGCACTTCGCTGGGCCCCAAAAACAGGGGTGCTGGGGGACCTAGTCTCTTGACCCATCTCCAAGCGCCTCAAGCTGAGGTGCCACACAGGGGCAGCTGGAAAGGCCTGTGGGGTTTGTCTCCGACAGAGCCAGGCCAAAAAGGGCGAAGATCCTCAGCCTCCAGCCGGGGTTTGGAAGCAGATCCGGGTCCGGTCCATGCAGGGGGAGCCAAAACCAAACAAACTGCGCTCGTTTGTGTTACCACTCAGGTGGTATCCGGTTCCAACATGGAGGGTGAATTCACCTCCGTTGGCCAAAAAAAACAAAAAGCTTTTTCACCACTCAAGTGGTCTACCCCCTCCCCCAAGGAGGGTGAATTCCGTTGGCAAAAACAACTAAACATGCTTTTGTTTTACCACTAAAGTTGTCTACCCCTCCCCCCAAAAAAATGTGCTATCTAGTTCCACCCAACCTTGCTGCCTGCAAATTCACTGAGAACCCAAAAAAGGGCAGCCATCAAAAAGAAGTTCCTCTGAAAATGATGGATTTTGACGTTCCTTCTCAGTCTGCAGGAGAGTATAGGGACATCACCAACGATCATCTACATTAGAATGACACACAATCACCGGTCCTGTCCTGACATGTCCTGACCATGTCCTTGCGAGGCCAGCTGGAAACAACACAAATCAAGCAGCTGAATCAAGCAACACCCAAAAGCAAGTCCTATACGGTATTGTCTCGCTGCTTTTAAGCAATCTTCAACGATGCGTGAGGTTCCATGAGGTTGCAAGCCGCAAGCTTTCCGAGCCAATGATTGCACAAACCAGGTCTTCCAAACAGCAGGTCAATTGACCTATTGACCGGTGTGTAATTATCCCGTGAAAAAGGCATGTTGAAAGTGAGCTTAAACTAGCCCTTGCACACAATAATCTCTCAGAGACGCTTGCACATGTGACTTATAACGCATTGTTTTCCGGATGACATCATAACTTCATTGTACAGCACTGAATCGTCACAACATGTCACAAGTGTTGACGGTTGCTCAAAGCACCCTGAACTCGCTTGGCATCGTCCAGGTGGAACCAGGTGCAACAAGGAGCAACGATGGATGTTCTTGCCCTTATAGAATGCACTTGTCTGGTTTGACTGCTCCAGTCACGTTGTGAAACAAACACATGCATAAACACGAGATTGCTCTGAGCCTGACAACATTGTCACATCAACAGGGCACACATGTGATGCCCACTTGAGTCTTTAGGGGCGTGCCACCGAAGCAGGTACTCGATTGCCCAGTGGCCATGGAAATCGGTCACCATTTGTTTGGTTGACTTGGAAAGTAGTAAGGCAACAAGGGCACCACTGCGTGGGTTGCCATGCTGAATTCTTGAGTACGGGAAAGGGGGCCGAGAGTTTTGGCAGGGGCCTTCAACGTGTTTTCGGCACAGACCACCACGAAGGCCTTGGGGATGTTGGAAATCTTCAACAATTCTGGAAATGTTGGTCCGGGTCCATACTGCAGGGGGTTCAAATAAATGTGTCGTTGGGTGGACATCATGGTGGTGATTCATGTCCACCGACCCCTTGTGAGGTGGCAATTTCGCAGCGAAATTGTTTGAATGTTTCATGGGTCTCGCAAACTCCTTTTGGCGCGTTTTGACCCACCAGGGAGCGTCGTCTGGTTGATCTCAGGTCAGGCAACCGGCTACCAGGCTTATCAATCCGGGGTCACACCTCCCCCTGAAGGCTTCCTTTTCACCCCAAAACGTGACCTTCCAGAAAGCTTCTCTCGTGTAGGTCAGTGGTAAACCGCAAACGACCAGCACAATGGGTGGTGCTGCTTTTGGTTTCCTTATAAGACATGGGTGAAAAGGGCCCCCAAAAACAAAACACACACACACACTCACACCATTTTGGGTGTGTCTACAAACCAAGCGACCCCATCCGGGGTGGTTTGTTTGCGGTTCCCTTCATCCAAAAGCGCGTTCCCTTTAATTTGAGACCCATTTAGTTGTTTGCCACCGGAACAGCGCATCCATTTCAACGGCCGCGCGGCATTCCAGGAAGCCTACGGCTGTCCCTCTGCTTCGGGCCCGCGAGAAAAATCTTCGAGCTAGGCGGCCACGGAATCGGAGGCCGAGGCACCTTTTTGGACCGACACCCAGCTGCAACCAGTGAGTCTGGCGGCAAAAGGGAACCATTGTGCTTTTGGGTGACCATTCTTAGCAGAGAACCCACCGAACAGAACAACCGGGCCCGAAATTGTGGTTAGATCCAGAACTCCTGCGTAGAAAAATACTGCTCAGCCTTACAGGGCTCAAATGCTGACTCCTCCAAATGTTGTCCTGCGAGTGTTTCAACATGAACACTTCCCTGGGATCAACACATGGGCCACATGGGTGTGTCTTTTTGTAGGGGACTCTCCAAAATGGTGGTTTGCCTTTTGGTTTCCCTTCCTTACCACAAATTAATGGGTCCCTCGACAAAAAACAGAGACCCCCATTGAACCAATGTTGGAAACCGTGGCATGCGGGGGGTAGTCCTAGCTCCTGCCATCCGCATGTCCCAAGCCTTCTGGTCTCTTGTTGGTCCCTGCTATCCCTGCTACCTTTCCTTCGCATATCTTGGCCTCCCAGTTGCACGACAGCTGGAAATGCGGGGGGCTTACGTAAGCGTGCTGGCGCTCGTCATTTCCAACCTCCCAACACAATCCCCCAGGCTATTGGGCGTGTGATACGATGGGTGTTCACTGGCCCCGAACCCCTGATGCGAAAGTACCTGAATCCCTGAAGCCGCACACCGAGCAAAACCTCGAACATGTCGAACAACCTTTTGCAAGTCTGGATGGGCCTCGAGGAATCTCCCTTGGGATCAGGCCCCTTTTTCTTGGGGATCGGTCCTTTTCTTGTTTTTGAGGGGACCTGTTCTCGGTTGCTTTCTGCTCCCCTGCTAAAAGTTTAACTTGTAGTGGTTTAAAGGAAAACCCATTAGTTGGCAAAAAGTTTAAGTCCTAACATCCAAGCAAAATGCACCAAAGTGTTGGCTTCTCGCCATTCTCCTTGCGCTGCAGCTTTCCAAGCGCGGGCCAACCTGAAGCACCTTCCACCCCCGCACAAACTGGCAGGATTCCCCACCCAACATCCCTCTCTTGTTTGACCCAAAGAAGCAGGGCCTGATAATTAACCAGTTTTGCCTCCCTCTGGCCCCCCCCCCCAAAAAAAAAAGAAGAAGAAAAAAAGACAGCGGACCTTTTCTCCTGGACGCTTCGGTTGCATGCTTTGGAGCCTTGAGGCTCATGCAGCGCACCAGGCCACCACCGATCTGGTGAGAGGTGAACTGTAGGTAGCGTCGACCCAAAAGTCTAGGGGACACTTCCCCATTCTTTCCATGGACCCTTCTCTTCAGAAAGCCATCAGAACCCCAGGGGAAACAGCTGGTTGTTGAAAAAACGATGGTTGAAAAGAATGGAATTGGAATCAACCCCTAGAAAAAGGATTATTCAGCCTGGATTACTCAGGGGTTGCCCAAAAGAGTCAAGAACCCTCATTGATAGGGCCACCCCTCTCCCCCGCTGAATCAACCACGGTTCAAATGGGGAATGGGGTTCCCATGAATGTGCAGTTTTGCTTGGCCAGTTATCCTTCAAACCAACCCGAAAAAAGGGTAGACTCAAAAAACGCTCAGCCCCGATTTCACGGACAAGTGGGCCCGGATTGGCGGGTCCCCATTTGAGCAATTGCAATGTCGGAGTTGTCTCGCTTTGCGAGCCTCGATGGTGGAGTTTTTGCCAAGTGGGCACATTTTATGTTGGATGCCAGATGTGAATCGCTTATCTTCTCCGTCTATTGTCTGAGGCGTGGGGAAAAACATATGTACAAAAACACAAAAACATACAAACAAACAAACAAACAAACAAACAAACAAACACACAAACACACAAACACACAAACACACAAACAAAAAACACAAAACCACAAAACCACAAACACATAAACACACAAACACACAAACACACAACCACACACACACACACACACACACAAGACTTTGAAGGGGTCAATGCATCCCTCAAAGGCTGCCAAGGGCGCAGTGTGTCATGATTGTACCAGGGCGCCCGTAAAGGCTGACATTGATATCGATGTTTTCTAACGCTAGCCTTTTTTTTGTTTTCAAGGGAAACCGAAAGGAACACCAACATCTTTAGGGTCCCTGTATTCTTGACACATGCCCACATGCAACTCAACCAGTGTCGCACTTGTAGTTCGGAAAGTCGAAAACTCTCTGTGGTCTCTGAAAAAGCATTGCCTGGGCCGGTTCGCTCTCCGACCAACATTTGGCTTTGCCAACTGTTGACCCTGAAAATTTCGATCCTCGCGACTAGATTGAACAGCTGTCTCAGCCATCCCTCACACACTCACTGACTTCCAAATGGGGAGTCCTAAGGGGACCTAACAATGGACCGTCCTAACTTCCAAACATGGGTGTCCTAGATCCTTTCACTTGTCTTAGCACACAATGGGGTCTGTGAAGTAGACCTCTGATGTTGCTAGCTCCGATGGTTAATCCGTTGATCCAAAACAACAAAGATGTTGTGGCAGGGATAAGAGTGATTCCCTGTAGGTTGAGATCCCGTCACATCTGTCCGGACATTTCATGCTAGCTCAAAACCAGCGGCCCGGCTTCACCTAACTCTGACCCTTTCGCCATAACAAAGTTGCCAAGTGGTAGGTTGAAGGGAAACACCAGTGCTCGAATCTAGAAGCAAAACCTGAGTCAAACTTGTTGTCACCTGGATGTTCCCAGATCAACGAACCTGGCACATCAAGCATTTGCTTCCCACTTCTCTCAAACAATAATGCTCTCTAAACGAAACGTTCTGTCTTATAGGAACCACTCATCGTTTGGATTCCCATAGAGGCTTGGTGAAGTGCTTGAAATCCCTATTAAGGGGTCTATAACCATCGCAACATCCTTGCCAACGCCGAGTAACAAAGTATGACAAAGTGCTTGATGGCGTGTATGTCCCTTCAAATTGTCATAGAACCGAAAAGGATATTCCCCGGGCTATAAATAGTGTTTTCTGCACGTTTTTGTTGCGGAAACCGTGCGTTGCCGGACAGCCTGCCTTCGAGCACGCGCCTTTTGGGCGGATCCTCGCGGTCAGCAGATCATCCCAGCGCGACCGCAACCATCGTCCTCGGTGCGGCCCGTTAAAGGGCAACTTTGGCACCAAAAGGAAAGCCATGGTGTTTGTTTTTCTTTTTGCGGGGACAGTCTGGTCCTCTTTTGGGTTGGGGTTTCCAGTTGTTTGCCCATGCGCGATTTGCTCAAATCTCGTCGTGCAGCCAATCCTTGCTCATTTGATGGCCCCGAAAAGCGAGCCAGCTTCCTGGGAGTGTGCCTCCCGGTGTGCGCTTCTCATGGATGAATGCCGAAAAGCTCACAAAACAAACCAGCGGTTCGCGCATTGAGCATAACACGGGGCTAGCCGAAAATTGGGCAACCCCCCATCAAGGTATAGTATGTGGCCTCAAAACTGAATCGAAATCGACCTCTAGTTGAGGGAACACCATTTGCAAGGGTCCAGTGGGGACCCTTTGGTGGACAGAGGACAGTCCATCTGTGAAAGTGGTCTTCATCTAATTAAAAATAATCCAGCCTTCATAACATTCCCCCCCCACACCCCAATTTTGGAAAACTCCCACTTGCTCCCTCGGTTAGGCGCCCACGGCCACGTTCAACAGCAAAACCTACGATTCGATGCTAGGAAGTGGCTTTCGGGCACGAATTTCTCATTTATGACTGCTGGGGCATGAAAGTACTCAGGCAAGCATCCAGCCCGAAAACAACGCACGTGCAGAGAAAGGCGAAAACATTATCTAACGCACATGTACACATTAACACTCTACAGCCAAGCAGCTCTGTGCTTTGTGCCAGGTTTCCCGTTTTGGTATGGCATGCCACGTTGGGCGCATCTCTTTGTTCGGAGTTTCTGTGACTCCGAGAATCCCGACTGGTCGCCCTCTGGTCTACAAAAGCCTAAGCACAAGGAAGAAACACGTCTGACAAGCAAAAGCAGAGGCCCATATGCACAAACAAGGCAGGCCCCCATACCTCCATAAACCATGTCCAAATGCAAAATACTCACTGACCAACTCACGATGTGCAAAGGGAAATTACTTTCTCAGCTCCAGAAATCAGTCCCATACAGCAGATCTCACAAGCTAGAGAAACTCTCTCAGCATTGATGCTAATCTCACGCATCCATCGAAGGAAGTCTGAGACTGTGAGATACATGTTCAGTCCAAGTCATCAACGGGCTCACTGGCAGAGTGCACTCGCTTTGTTCTCGACGATCGGTTGCCAAATGCGAAAGGAAAACTGTGTGTGACAAAGGATCAGGCAACAAAAAAAAGCGAAGCGCGGCACCTAAAGAGACAACCCTTCAACAAAACCTGGACCCCAACTCCGACAAGTTCAGTGCCAGTGCAGCAGCCCGAAAATCCGACGAATGGGTTCCAAATGTTGCGCCCAGCCCCGAAAAACCGGCCCCGGAGCGGTCCGAGTGGCGCCGCGATCAGGCAACTGGGGCCGACGGGCGCGCTGGACGCCGAGGCTCCTGTCAACAGGTGTTGGTTCTCTGGCCTCGCCAGCATCATCACCACCACCACCACCACCACCACCACCACCACCACCACATCGCCATCACCATCACCAGTACCATCACCACCCATCATCACCATCACCACCCATCATCACCACAAGACGGGTCCCCTTTCACCTTGGCTTGCAGGGAAATTACACCAGCAGAGACCCCAAACAGTTGAGCACGGGCAAGCACAAACATGCCAACAGCTTGTGGCTTTCTGCTCTTCAACACGAATGAATCAAAATGATCCCGGCACGCGTTGCGTTGCTGCATCCTGGCGTGCTTCACGCTTCAGCGCCGCGCAGGAACTGGGGCAAGCGCGTGCGATAGCGGGCGAGCGCGCGAGCGTGAACGCAAGTGTGGCCGCGCGCTACACACATGTCCAATTCAGACACACATGTGTGTGTGTACATGTGAAACACACATAAGTATACGACTGAAACAGTATACGCGGCACGCGCAGATGTGCACCTGTGAACACACACACATATACATTCACCTGGCACACGCATACATGTGTTGAGCTGGAAAACCAACGTGTGCTTCTTGTAAAGCACACACACACACGTGTACGCCTGGAACGCACATATGTGTTAACCTACAACCCGCTAATGTGTTCACGTGGAACACACATGTGTTCACTTGGAACACAATGAAACGCGTGCCCAAATCAGACACACATGTGTGTACACGTGGAATCACACGTGTGTTCACCTGCAACGCAAACACGTCCGATTAAAGCACACATGTGCGTACATGTGGGACACACATGTGTATACCACTGGAACACAAATATGTGTCCAGGAACACCGCGTGCGCAATTATAGCCCATGGAACACACATATGTGCAGGCGTGAGCAAACATAAATGCTCACCGAAAGCGCGCGCACACACACACACATGCGCGCACCTCGAAAACAATCATGCGTTTTCTGGAGCACACACATGCGCACACCTGGAGAGCAAGTATGTCGTCAGATGCAAAAAATATCCACCTAGCACATAGCAATGTGTTCACGTGGAACACACATCTGTCCACCTGGAACACAAACATGTGTCCAAGTGGAACACACATGTGCGTACACGTGGAACACACTTATGTGTGCACGTGAACACACATATGTGCACACATGAACACTCAAAGAAATGTGCACCCGGAACACACACACACCATTGCGCCAAACCGAAAACAACCGTGTGTTCTCCTGGCACGCAAACACGTGTCCAATTGGAACACACATGTGCGCACACGTGAACACACATATGTGTACACGTGGAACACACACACGAGTGTTCATCTGAAAACACACATGTGCTCACCCCGAGCACATACACGTGTCTGATAAAAACACACATGTGTGTACACGTGAACACACATATATGTGTACACGTGGGAGACACACATGTGCACACGTGAACACACACTTATGCGCACGCTGAAACACAGACACACACGAGTATTCATCTGATAACAAACGCATATTCTCCTGGAACGCAAACACGTGTCTAGTTGGAACACAGAAGTGTGTACACGTGAACACACGTCTGTGTACACGTGGGACACACATGTGTGTACACGTGAACACAAACATATATATATATATGCACCCGGAACACACGCTTACGTGCGTTCATCTGATAACAAACACGTACTCACCTGAAACACAAACACGTGTCCTATTGGAACACACATGTGTGTACACGTGAACACACAAGTGTGTAGACGTGGAACACGCAAATGTGTACAAATGAACACACGAAGACCTATACCCACACACCCGTTCATCTGATAACATACATGTGTTCTCCTGGAACACAAACACGTGTCCAGTTGTGTGTGCACACTTGAACACACACATGTGTACACGTTGAACACACATATGCGTACACGTGAACACACATACATCTGCATGCGGAGCAGACACGTGTTCATCTGATAACAAGCATGCGTTCTCCGTTGGAACGCACATGTGATGTGCGCACACGTGAACACACAAATGTGTACACGTGGAACACGCAGATGTGTACACGTGAACACACATATGTGTACACGCAAACACACACATATACGCACACCCGGAACACGCACACACACACACACACGCGTGTTCGTCTGATAACAAGCATGTGTTCCTGGAAAACAATCACGTGTCCAGTTGGAACGCACATGTGTGCACACTTAAACACAAATGTGTACACGTGGGAGACACACATGTGCACACGTGAACACACATACATGTGCGTGCGGAGCAGACACGCGTTCATCTGATAACAAACACGTGTTCTCCTGGAACACAAACACGTGTCTAGTTGGAACACAGAAGTGTATACACGTGAACACACGTCTGTGTACACGTGGGACAAATATGTGTACACGTGAACACAGAAATGTGTACACGTGGAAAACACATATGTGTACACGCAAACACACACACATATACGCACACCCGGAACACACACACGCGTGTTCGTCTGATAACAAACATGTGTTCCTGGAACACACACAAACACATGCGTACACCTGGAACACATATGTGTGTATGTCTGGAAAGCACATTTCTGTTCACCTGCAACACACATTTGTGTTCACGTGGAACCCATACATGCGCTCACTTGCGCAACACTGGTGCAGACCTGGATCACACAAACATGTTTAACCATAACAAACTTGCGTGCTGACTTGTAACACACATATGTGTACACATGGAACACACGTATGTGCACATGTGGAGAAACATGTGCAACACAACTACGCAGCGCACATGCGTTCATCTGGACAACAAAAATGTCTTCATGGAGTTTACATTCTCTGCACGCCTGCAAACAATTACGCAGCGCACATGCGTTCATCTGGACAACAAAAATGTGTTCACATGGAGTTTACATTCTCTGCACGCCTGCGCGACACCTAAATACAGTTCCCGAAGCCGGCTGCGAGGCGCAATTTCATGGGGCTCTGCCTTGAACAACGCTTGTGTTTTATATGCGTGTTCCAAGTAGGAAAACAGTGTTCGTGTGCGATCAATCTAGCAATTTTGCAACACGTTGCTAGCGCGCGAGCTGCTGCTGCTGCTGCTGCTGCTACTACTGCTAATACTATCAGTGTCGGGTGCGTCTCCAGCATTTGCAGGCTTCATCTTAGCAAAAGCTTTCCGGCGCATTGCTCTTTCTTGCTTGGCTGCACAGTGTCTTTCGTATCGAGTAATCTGTTGCTCGATAGAACGCTCTAAAGTGCCTTTATCGTCTATCGTATTGTGGCAACTCTTCGCATCGATTCAGTAAAGCATTTGCTTTCGCAAGGAAATACGCAACCCTATTCTTCCGTATGCTCGGTACAAGGCATCCCTGCCAGCCTCCCGTTTGTCCAGCAAATCGCCTTCCATGGTAATTGCATGTCGAGGAGAGCGGAAGCAAATTAACTGCACAGCCTTGCTAGATTTTTTGGAGTCACGGCGACCATCTGTGTGGATTTGACAAAACGTGCGGGCTGGCTTCAGGTGCTAAGTAAGAACTGAAAGCCACACAAAGCCCATCGCAGCAACCTACGCGCCAATTCTTGGAAACCAAAATCACCGATTACCCTGGGAGAGCCGTGCCAGGCATCCAGGCTGGGAGACAACGGGAGAAAACTGAACGGAGACAAAGGGAGACAAATCAACCCGTCCACCCAGACAGCCGTGCCAGGCATCCAGGCTGGGAGACAACGGGAGACAAATGAAGGGAGACAAAGGGAGACAAATGAACCTGTCCACCCAGAGAGCCGTGCCAGGCATCCAGGCTGGGAGACAACGGGAGACAAATGCAGGGAGACAAAGGGAGACAAGTGAACCTGTCTACCCAGAGAGCGTGCCAGGCATCCAGGCTGGGAGACAAAGGGAGACAAATGAAGGGAGACAAAGGGAGACAAATGAACCCGTCCAGCACAGAGCCGTGCCAGGCATCCAGGCTATGGCTTGGCAATAGGCGAGTCACTTTAAATGAATTTAGAACCCCTCACAGTAAACTGTTTGGGGAATAAAAAAGGAAACACGGCTATGGCGGGAGTCTCGTAGTCTTCACATGTATGTTGGTATGCACCTTTGGGAGAACCTTCTCGGCTGGTTACACTAACCGGTCAAATCGTGTGGATTGCCACGTCGCTTAAGGTCAAAATGTGAACGAAACTACAAACCTGTCTGACCAGTTCCAAAAGCAGGGCTCACCCAAACGAACAACTAGGTTACTCTTACATCCGCCGCTTGAGAAATCATCGAATTTGGGTGTAACTTTCTTGAAGGGGACCCCCCCCCAAAAAAAAAACCTTTGGTGGACATCATTCTGGGAACTCCTCTAGCCCCTCCAGGGGGACCCTTTGGTGGACACGGTGATTGTCCACCAACCACTGAGGAAGGTCCCTACTAAAAAACTCATCGCCATTCTGCCAAAGGCTTCCCGGGGCCAGAAGGGCACTCTAAGGAACCCGCTTCCGCACTGAACCCGCTGGCCACTCGCTTCGGCACGAAAATTGGGAAAGCTGGGCGAATTTGCATATCTTATCAGTCTTGTCAACGCTGTTCGAAGGAGAAAGTGGAATCTATGTAAATGCAAATATGAGCAATGTAACTTGTGGACAGGACTGGAATGAAACATATCAGTAGTCCCTTAGGGGTACGATGACATGATGGGGCTAGACCCAACGGAAACCAACCTCTGATGTGCCCAAGGCAAGGACATGTGCCCAGCCGCTTGGCTGTTGGAGAACGAATGCCTGGAGATTTCACGGTTGCTCCTACACTTGCAGCTAGGAGACCTGAAGTTCGCTAGATGCGTGCTCAACAAGCCGTTTGGAGCACTGTGTCTCACAGTCCCCTCGTTGAGTCGCAAAAAGAGGGTTCCCGGCAACGGCTATGGCGGGGTTGGCCCCATGCTCAATGGTTTTGGCTCCATGACCTTTCAGCGAATTCGGTTCTCTGGGGTTGGTGTTTTTTCTCCCAAGCTGCCAAACGCCAAGGCCATTTCGGTGCCGTTTCTCAGATCGCTTGGGCGCTAGCGTGGCATGGGGATCCATGGACACTCGGCAACAGGCCCCGGGGTTGGTGACACAGGGAGCGAAATCCCCTCCTGAGTAATTAACAGCTCACCCACCTTCAGAGATCCCAGCTGAATTCCTTCTGACCCCCCAGAGGAATATAAGCACCACCTCGGAATGTCTTTTCCCAAACAGAAGGTAAAGGATGAACCCTGGCCTCTTGTCTTCTTGTAAGACCCGTGCAGCCAACAATCACCGAATGAGGGAGTGGAATATCGTCTATGTGAGTAAGCGTGGCTTAACATAGTTGTGTTTTATCACCCTTGCGCATTTTGTCACATCCAACCCATTAAATATTATATCATATAACTATATGAAACTCGTGTCATGCGTTGGCAACCGTCTTGCACGTCTGGCTCCTGCGACATCCTCCACAGTCCCCTCGATGCTATTGGGGCTGATCTTGTCCGTGCGTGTGGCGCGGCAGGCCGTGGCAGAGGGCTGCGCCACGTTCCTTGCTTCGTCGCTGCTAAGCAAAACGAATCCATCGCTGAGCGTTCATTGCATGTTGTGAAACATAAGTATCGCGCTATAAGCGTAATTACTCACGCACGTGCGCATGCTTGCACTCATGGATTCAAGGTGTCGTGCTTACGTAAACGTGTCAGTGTCAGTGTCAGTGTCAGTGTCAGTGTCAGTGTCTGTGTCTGTGTCTGTGTGTGTGTGTCTGTGTGGGTGTGTTTGTGTGTGGGTGTGTGTGTGTGCGCGTGCAAATGCACGACTGCGCGCACATGAGCACATGCGTGCTTGTTTGTCGCAGGCGTACTTGCACGCTGTATGTTGTTGTTTGTGTGTGTGCACGTGTGTATACGCATGTGTACAGTTGCTGACAAAAAGACAAATCAGCGAATATAGAATTAACAACTATACACCTGCAAGAAAATACGTATATATATATATATAGGTATAAATAAACAAATACAAGCAAACAAACAATACAAAATGGCTACACACACAAAACGTACCTGAATAGCTGATATACACATAAGCAAATATGTGATAACTAATTGTTGCACAAACATAATTGTTGCACAAACAAGTCATGCAATCATTGCCAACTAGATTTATAGATTGATTGATAGATAAGTACATACCTCTATACTTCGATAGACTAGATAAGATATTGACACAGATTGACAAATAGACATATAGATAGACAGATAGATAGATAGATAGATAGATAGATAGATGGATGGATGGATGGATGGATGGATGGATAGATGGATAGATGGATAGATGGATAGATGGATGGATGGATAGATGGCTAGCTGGATAGATAGCTAGGTATCTGGATAGATTAGGTAGGTAGGTAGGTGGGTAGGTGGGTAGGTGGGTAGGTGGGTAGGTGGGTAGGTGAGACAGACAAACAAACAAACACATAGATACAGAGAGAGGGAGAGAGCGAGAGAGAGAGATAAATAGACAAATGGATTAGGCAACTAATGCCAAGTAAGTAAACAATACACAAATTAAATTAGCAACACACAACAACACACATAGGAAAACCACAAATCATGAACAAACATATGAAGTCATCAACAAAGAAAGCCAACTAGATTGACAAGTACAAACATGAAACAATAACATTGCAAGTCAATGAATAAAGGATTCAATGAATCAATCAATAAGCATATGAAGTAAAGGTCAGGGACAACCAGCCCAGGTATTCCCCGCTTATCCTAGCTCCAAAAAATGGGTATGGGTCAAAATTCAACCACCAGGAATTGGACCGCAGGTTTTAGTCTTTGTTTCCACTTCCCAGGGCAACCCATTTTGGGTTTACCCAATTTTTGACCACCACACCCAAGTTTCCATGAGGGGTTTAGATGGCTTGGCGCCTCTTGCTCGGCTCCGTGTTGGTGGAACTGAACCCCTGAGGGATACAACTGCTGCTAGTCATGTTCCAACTTAGAAGATTCAAGTCAAGGGCAACGAGCATGGAGCCGTCTGCTTGGATCCTGTTGTGCTATAGCCAACTTGTGCTATTCAGCTTGTCAACCATCACAACGATGTGCTCTGCTTGATATGAAAGCCAAACAGCCGACAAATCTCCGCAGGCGACCCTCTCAGCACTCCTCACCATAGTTGAAGCTAAACAAATGGCCCACAACAAGGACTCTCAGGAGCCCAGGTATCTCTTCAAACTGGTGATTGAGATGAAACCTTGCCCCGGAAAAAGCAATCCAGCTGAGCCGCCAAAACCCATTGACTCGTGGTTCTGCCAACGCAGCAAAGGTTTTAGTTGGCCTGTCCATGCCGTACCGAACTGGTCGACTCGGCGTTTGAGCCGAGGAGCGAGCACTGGGCCGTCTGCTTGGGGCAGGGGTTGAGCTGAGGACACATGCCACAGGATCTCTTGCACTTCGTCTGAATCTGGGCCTGAAGGGTCAATGTCTACATGGGTGGCAGCAATGGCCTCCCCTTTCACTTCGGACAAGGGTACCCTCGGAAAGACACACGCGACACCCATCAAACCACTCAGCCTCTGGCGAACTCAAAAAAGACC